ATAAATTTCATTGAGGTTTGCATTCCACAACCTTGATGATTTACTGAATGAAACAAGTCTCAAAACAGGTAAATTTAAAACCATTAAGTCAAATTGATTCGTACTTTTTGAGGTTACTGAAAACTTCTGCGGAAAAGAAAACAAGCTGTCAAATGTCAAACGATGCAATTTAACAATAAGTTCCGTATGTACTTTTTAGCAACTTTCAAGTTCAGATAATGTTCTACATGAACTAATCAGAGACTTTGAAGTTAGTTCTTACGGAACTTGAAAGTAGGTTTGGCTACTCTGAAAACCATTTTTATGAATGAAATCTACACATCGAGTAAAATCATATGATATTCCACTTCGTTCACATAGAGCAGTGGTATGTATCTCGGTTTCAAAGAGGAGGACTCGAGTTCGAGAATTGCGGTTAGTAATTTAAAAACATGTAATTTAAATTTAATACTAATGGTGGTTTCGACTGGTTGATTGGAATTCTTTTATGGGGTGACTTTCTCAGTCTTTTAGTAGAAACGATTAATTTTGTACGTTCCCTACGTTTCGACCGTTTGGTTGCGGCCTTTCTCAAGGGTTGTAATGTAACCCTTGAGAAAGGCCGCAACCAAACGGTCGATACGTCGGGAACGTAAAAAATTAATCGTTTCTACTAAAAGACTGAGAAGCCACCCCATAAAAGAATTAAATTAAATATTTGACCATATTACAAACATTTATATTCCGACGATACAGTAGCTCATAATAAATTAGATGAGAACGTGGTAAGCAGCAAAATAATATTTGTTTTCTATTTTGGATTGTTGATTTCATTCAAGTTTTCTTTTTGGGCTGAATAGCATTCTTTCCAACAGTTAAACGAACCTTTTATGAACTTTCAAGTTCTTTTTAAAAGTGAAACAGCATTCTGTTAGAAGCATAAACATCGAATGTGAACTTGGAAGTTCGGTTAACTACTTAAAAAGTAAGCTGAATAGAATTCTCTTCATAATCCTTCGAATAGCTGATTAAGCCAAAAAAAGGGCTTTTATCCGAACTTTTGGTTGCTTGGGGTGTTCTTCAAAATAACCGCGTTTTAAAAAACTCGAAACTGTTCGCTGTTCTCCACACGCTCGTTGCCAAAATTGTTATGGTTTTCGGATTGCGTGGGCACTCAAATAGCACAGAGGTTGGGTTTATACTACAATTTATTAAAATTATTTACAGTTGTTGATAGCTCGATGGTTGAACATGAAAGAGGGTTTAACAATAGTGGGGAGCTCTTATAACGGGTGTTCAATAAAAAATGAGAATGATTTCAGTGCCGTCCAGCGCTCTTGTGAGAGCATCGCGACTAAGTTGCGTCGTACGGCTGACCAGGGCCCCTTCTCCAACATTGACGTTTTGTTTTTAATAAAAAAATACTGAACTCATTGAAAATTTTTTTTTTACTAGCTATGTGGCTGACAAAATCTCATTTTTTATTGAGCACCCGTTATAGTGCACTGTTTTACATGTGTAGGGGATTGTCAGCTTTGACCTTTACCAAGCCCATCCCAAGTAACAATTTTGGTTTTATAAGGGTTCTGAAAACCGTGATTTAGATTTGTAGCATGCTTTAAAACCTCGATAATTCTTCCAATGTTACTTGGGATCAGCAGGGATTCGATATAAACGATATGATCGATATTATTATATCTAGATATTTATTTATTTTTTATTTATTTGGTTTTTCTTCATCGGACTTAACGTGTCTAAATGAAGCCTGATGGGAAAAAGCCTAGAAAAGGCGTAAAAACCCCATATCTTTTCGAAATATATGAATCACAATAATACAATACAATACAATTACAACGAACATTAATCAAGTCTATAGCATAAAAAAAGTTATCCTCCTATGGCATAGAGTTGTCCGTGAATCAGGTAGAAGTCCTCGTCATGCAGTTGAACCGGAAACAAAAAAATAAACAGGTAGCGCAATCCTTCACGTGTTCATTAAATGGACAGCTACTCACCTTCTCAGAAGTCTGCGTTGAATACGGTGACGAAAGGTTTCCGCTGCACAGTTGAAATCGAAAAACTCGTAAAACTCGTTGAAACGCCCAGACATGAAACGTATTGGGTCATGCAAGCTGTAGTTCGCAGCACGAGGTCCAAGATGCAGGAAACTCCTCGACCGAAGAACTCGTTCAGGTGCGTAGATTTCGAATTCAGCCAAGATTCCTGGAGTGTCGATATCACCAATAAATACTTTCGCTGCGAACACGGCCTGACCAATCGTCCGCCTATGTTCTAATGTTTCAAGACCCAGGAGTTGACAACGATCTTCGTACGGCGGAAGGTTCACAGGGTCATTCAAAGGAAGGTGACGAAAGGCATACCGAACAAATTTCCTTTGAACAGATTCAATCCTCGCTATCCAAACTGCTTGATACGGGCACCATACTACCGAGCTGAATTCCAAGATCGATCGCACTAGAGAGCAGTATAGAGCTTTTAGACAGGCAGGATCGCGAAACTCGTCAGCGATCTTGAAAATGAACCCGAGTTGCCTGTTAGCTTTCGCAACGATGCCCGAGTAATGAAGCTTGAATGTTAAGGCGCAGTCCAGCGTGATTCCTAGGTCACGAACATTGTCCACACGTTGCAGAAGTTGGTGATTTATCGTATAGTTGAATGCCACTGGTTTCAGCTTGCGATGAAATTAGATAATATTACATTTTTGTACATTCAACGTGAGATAGTTTCTTGAGCACCACTCTTCGAAAGTATCGATTAGGTGCTGAAGCCGCAAGCAATCGGCGAAGCTACGAACAATCATATAGATCTTCACATCATCCGCGTAGAACGATCGGCAACCAGTTGGGAGGATCAGTTTGGCCTCATTCACAAAAATCGAGAATAGCAATAGCCGAGAGTTGCTACCTTGAGGAACACCGGAGCTGTTTGTAAAATAGTCCGATTGCTCTGATCAGATTCTAACACAAAGTTCCCGATTGGTCAGATAGGACTTGAACCAACGAGTTAAACCCGGGGATACACCGAGTTTTTCAAGTTTAGCTAGCAGTATCAAGTGGTCAACCCGGTCGAATGCAGCCTTGAGATCTGTATATACAACGTCCACCTGCGCTCCAGCTTCCATACTCCGAAGACATAAAGAAATGAACGGAGCTAGAATTGTTGAAGCTGATCTCTTGGGATAAAAACCATGTTGGTTAGGAGAAATGTAATTTCTGCAGCTAGAGAATAATGCGTCGTTGATGATGATTTCAAAAACTTCAGAGCAGGCACTGAGTGATGTGATCCCTCGGTAATTTTCGACGTTTCTATTGTCTCCTTTCTTGTAGATCGGGAACATGAATGACGATTTCCAACGCGTAGGGAGCTCCCCCTGCTGTAATGAAATATTGAACAGCTTCGAAAGCGGTGTTGCAAGCTCTGAACAGCATCGCTTCAGGATGATTGAAAAGATCTCGTCAGGGCCAGCAGCATTAGAAAATTTCAACTTCTTGATGGCGGATTCGACGAGGTTTACTGTACCCAAGGTAATCGAAAAATTGAAAGCATCACTGGGAGTGTCCCTCACCGCTTGGGACAACGAAGCCGTAGTGTCATTGAAAATGCTTTTGAAATGTTCTGCCAGAAGATTACATTTCTCAAGGGAATTGCTGGCGATTCTATCATCCAGGTGAATTTCGACTGGTAGCCCCTCCTCGTTTCGTTTGGTATTCACGAATGACCAGAACTGCTTTGGATTAAGCCGTAAATTAGCCTGCACACGCCTTGTGTAGCTCTTGTAAAGAATACGGTTATATGTGCGATATTCGTTGCTCGCTGAATCGCTGAAAATAATCGTTTGGTGAATGGGTTACGAGTAAGACAGTATTTACGGAGGGCCTTCGATCTCAGACGCTTCAAATTCCGTAGTCGAGCATTGGACCATGCGGGTTTGGGAGAGGGTCTCCTCAGTGGGACAGAATCAGTTATTGCCCGGCCAACGCCCTCAGTGAAGTAGTTGACGGCTTCATCAATAGATGAACACGTGTCAAGGAACTGCCAATCTGCCTGGGCAAGCGAGTGACTCAGCGCGACGAAATCTGCTCTACGAAAGTCGAGCTCGTGTACATCAACAGGGGGTTATCGTAGCGAACAGGAACAGATAGGTTGATGGAAACTTCCTGGCTCTGGGGCTTCTAGGATAGAGCATTCCAGTCCTGCAGCTTCGTTGGCCAGAACGAGATCAAGCAGCCGAGAGTTGCTATGCAGTATCGAGTTGATTTGCGTTAAGCCATGCAGGTTGAAACCATCAAGAAGATCACAGCATGATGCGGGCATGTTCGAGCAAAGAACATCAATACTAGGAAGATCGTTTGCAGGAACGTTCCATGAGAGCCCAGATTGATTGTAGTCACCAAATATCAGAGCTAGGTCGTTTTGTTCTAGTCGAGAGAACACGGTACCAATCGAACTGATGTGGTTTGCAATGCTGCTCGAATCAGATTTCCGGTCTGGAGGTAGATACATAGCGCCAATACTTATTGATCTACGAGGCGTCGTTATTTTGACCCACAGCTGCTCTAGAGAAGTGCAAACTGGAGCAGGATCGATGCAGGAGCTTAGGCGTTTGGATACCACAATCAAGACGCCACCCCCACGCGATTTGGTACTATTCTGGTGGTTGCGGTCGTTTCGAAATACCGTGAATAGACTGCCAAATAATTGAGATGAATTAATGCGTTCATCGAGCCAAGTTTCCGTAAGAACTATGACATCGTAGTCAGAGTCAACGGCAGTCAGGAAAAAATCATCAATCTTTGTTCGCAGGCCACGAACGTTCTGGTAATACATCAACAGGCGGTCGAACGAAGTCGGTTGGAGGTCTGCAGAATGATCGATCAGCCGAAACGAGCATGGTGGTACTCTGGAATACAGAGACGGATCAGGAGAAGAACTGTTTTCAACAAACGCATACTTGCCTGATGTAGAAGGTTGGAAGACCCCTTCACCATTCTCAACCACAGGGCCAGAACGACTACGATGACAGGAATCAGCAAGCGCGACTGGGTTGAGTGGCAACGCGTTCTGGTCTGGGATGTTCCAAAACGTGGCGAGCTAGATATGCAACAAGCACAACTTGAAACGATCGTTTTCCAAGACAGTATTGGGCGGTACCGATACTTTGGTTAACGTAGGACCACGTATTTGCACGGTAATCGCTAAATACCCAATAATGACTACAAAGTAAGCATTTTCGAGGGAAACTGGGACTACCCATAAAATGAGTAAAATTTTATCCATTTATGAGTATTTACAACTACAAAAATAAGTAGTAAGTATTCATTTGTGAGTGACAAATACTTATAAATGGGTAATCTTTTTACTCATATAATTGGTAGTCCTAGTCTCCCTCAAAAATGCTTACTTTGTAGTCAATATTGGGTATTTTGAGGTTACCATGTGTGAAATATACTGGTGAGCAAATAAAAAAAAAAAATTTAACGAAATAGTACCATCTTTTAAACGCTTATCATTTGACCATTTATGTATGGATTTCAAATCTTATCACATCATTTGATTAAGATTTAGTCTAAAATTCGATTGATTTATAGAATTTAGTAATTTATTATTAGAAACCTATTGAAAATAGATCAATGTTTTAGACCGCAATCAACCAATCGCGTACTTGCTTGCTTTGACTATTTGTAATTTGTAATTTATTGGTACCAAAACGAAAAACGAAAAATGATGGTTTGAGACAATTTGTAATGCTATTTTTTATAGTTTGTTTATTTGTCCAGTCTCATTCGCTGTAGATTTACGGAGCCGAAATTTAGTTTTTGTTTCGGACGGAAGAAAAATGTACCGAAACACAAAAAACGGACTATGGTGGAAGGGCTGGAGCTTCAACTTGGAGGAACACGGGAAGGCGAGATACTCAAATCGGTCAGTTTCAGAAACACATAAAATAAATTCATGTATTCGAGATCCAGGCTCGCCAAGAGATCTCTAACAGGTTGTTTTCCTCGGGCCCTGAGAGATGTGAATAACTCAGATCTGGCAACACGGTGTAGGTAATGTGCATAGTAAACAACATGCTTGATATCGTGATAACCACTGTCACAAGCACATAAATTGCTGCCTGAGACCCCAATTCGATAGAAACGCGAGTCTAATGAACAGTGATTGGACAAACGCCTTGACATAAGGCGTATAACGTCGCGGCCCATGTTTAACCCATTGAACCACGGTTTGTTCAACACCTGTGGGAGAATAGAATGTAACCATCTTCCAAAATCACCATCGTTCTATTTGTGTTGCCAACTGATGAGGATTTGCTGACGAGCAATGGAGAAAAATTCATTTAAGGCGATTTGTTGCTCTAAAATATCGCCCGCCTTAGCCAACGAGTTCGCATTCTCATTACCCGAAATTGAGCAATGAGATGGGACCCAAGCTAAGGTCATAGTATAGGAGCAGTTAGATAAAGCACTCAGTTCAAAGCGTATTTCAGGCAGGATATATGAGGTGAGGAGTGCTTCATCGGCCTCCGATGAGCTAAAACTATACGTAAAAATGAAATAATGCTCAGATGGTAGTAAGGCAATTCGCTCTACTGCGTATGATATAGCTGCGAGTTCCGCAACTACGTATGTACGGATCATGGTTTCTGCAGTTTATAGAAGGTGTTACGAACTTGATTAAATACACCAAATCCAGTGGAAGCATTTATAGTTGAAGGCTGTTAAAAAACTTTTATCGTTACTTACATGGTGAAAAGAGATTCCAAAAATTGAGGAAACAGCCATGGTAATCCATGGATTTCTTCGATCATGGTCAGATCAAAATTCAAGAACAACATGTGAAAATGGTATACAAGCTTTTTGTAAACAAACCTTCTTATGCCCTTTTCTCACCACCCATATGACATCAACGCAAACAATTAACACTAGCGGGTAGGGGAAGCTTTCCCCTTACCGATTATGTTGTTGGTTTGCGTGGGCGACCCTCGGTTGGCGAGAAAAGGGCCTACAAAGGATTGTTTACAAAAAGCTTGTAAATATACATTTCATATACATACATTTCACATGTGGCTCTTGAATTTACAGAGGAGCTATAGAAAGGAATCACTATTAGAGATTATTTTGGTCGAGCAGCTTTTCAAAGTTTTCTATTACCAATGGATTCATTACTTCACAAAAGATGAGAAACCGGAAAGACAGTTCAGCGAAACGGAATCTCATCCGTCCCTTTCGCGATAATCCCAATCTCATACATTTTCCTGCAGACCTTGTTGACAGTAGTTCGTCTGAACTGGAATCACCCCTCGGTCACATTTGATGATGATCAATTGAATTCTGCGTTCGCTTGCAGCGCTACAGTTGTCCTATGATATGACAACTGGTAACATTCAGCAAAAAGCTGATTCAACTGCTCTGCAAAAAATTCCTCCAAGGTGGAATTCTCGGCATTGTGATGAATACCTTTTCTCCTCAAATTGCAGCACAGCTGCTTAGGTGAAAGATCGATGTTATACCATAGAGGTAACTCTAAGACCACTGGGTCCCGAAGAAAATCATTATTATTTTTGGCTCACTCAGTACCAGAACAACGGTCCCAAGCAGTCCCAAGCTATTTCACTCACCCCTGCATGTTCTGCATGAATCCACACACCCCTGATGTTATCTGTCAAACTTTCATAGCGAATCAAAACAAACATAGTGTAGTAATAGAATTTCAACTAGAATAGGGTACGTTAATCGTTTGCTTGGGACCAATAGGCTACTAAAGTGGTGAGCCAATTTAAAATCGTTAGTGTCGTATTGATTGTTGGTTATACTGCGAATCAGCATAGCTTCTTAATTGTGACGATTATGGCGAGCCCGGCTCTTTTTGGAGATGTAGTTTCACACACGGTTAGGATTTCACACATATAGTAAACCGGCTAGATCCTTTAAGGCGACTGCAGTTTGGATTTCGTTCGTTATCCAAAGAGTGCGTTTATCAGGAACACTAATTATCTGGTCCAAAAGCGAGTTAAGTTCGCAAGTTATAAGCTGTGATTTGGTGTTGACGTCTTCTTCCTGATATATTTAAAAATAAAAATAACAAATTCTTTTTCTAAACATAAAACCTTTAATTTTTCTGGTTAGCTCATTAAAAAAAATCATCGTCAATTCAACAAATCAACATTTTCACATCACTTAAAACCCTCTCACCATGGCAACCCTAAACAAAACTCAGGAACGAGTAAATCATGTAGCCTAGCTTGCAGGCGTAATTTGTGCTCCCGGTTAACTTGTCTTGTCCCGAAACCGGACAGAGCTATTATTTTCCGACGGACGGTGCTTCCCTCCAGCAGATTTTCATCTGTCCTGTTGTGTCTGAAGAAAAAAAACCTATTATATTATTTGAGAAACTTCAAACTCCTTTGTTTCCAGCCTGTTTAGCAGCGGCAGCGCTTTACGATGACTGCTTTATGTGCAAACCTAGGTAAACAGGTGACACCTTGCGCCGACACTGCCCCCGCTGAGTGCCATCCAATTAATTTGGTGGATTTAAGATTATCTTGTCACTCAAATTAGTGCTTAATTTTGGGGTTTTTTTTTTCAAACCTATTTCGGCAATGTCATTTAAATTAATCGAAAAATATGATTAAACAACGGTCACAACATGTGTCGCGCCGTTGGTCGCGCTGCAAATTGATGACCAAATAAACGATTCCTGCGGACAAATAATAATAATAATAATAATAATGGGGCGCTTCTTATTGGGCAGACAGGGCAGTGAGACATGATAATTACATTTGGAATCGGTTGTATTGGTTTGCCGGTGCTTCAATGCTTTTGTAGCCAGTGGCAGATTGCTCCCTGTTCTGTTTCGCTGTCATTTTGATTAATTTGTTAATAATTAATGTTCATTGTTCGAAATTATAGTGATAACCCAAGGAAGGGGGTTCAGAACTTTCGAATACAATGTTGAAATATCGATTAAATTCTCACATCTCGATATTTCACAGAGGTATGCACATAAATTCAAGTTTCCAAATAATATCTCTAGTAATCAAATCATGCATATTTGAGAACAACCGAAAACAATTACCTGTACCTCCGATCCACAAAATTGCCGAACCGAAAAGGCCATCAAATTATTGCTTCCTCATTCTTGTTATGTTGTAGCGAACCTACCAACCGAAAAACGCATGCATCCATTGCAAAAACACGGGAACTGCATCATGATTTTTAATGAAGTGGTATTTTGGAACCTATCTTGAATTCCTGAACTCCGAAACCCTGGCAAGCGAGGGGAAGAGGAAACTCATTATGCTTGCTATGTGCACTGTACGTCGAATTCTCATCCGAGACCGATAACGGGACTTTTGCATGGCACACTTGATCCGGAACGGGCGCCCAAAACGAACCAAAAGGGGGAAAGCCGAGCCTTCGAAGCGTGACCACACGAAACACGGACAGGGGTTTAAATTGAAGTAATCAGTGAAAGACAACAACAAAAATGCAAGTGGAGGACAAAACCAATCCCGGTGGCTAATTTTTATATGGTTTTAATCCAAAATGGCCCATAACTCTCGAGCGTAATGGCGATGGCGCGCGAAGTTCAGGAGATACTTTTACCCTCCCTAACTATATGTTTCCGGCAAATCCTGGATTGCTATAAATTTCATTGCTGCTGGGATTAGGATTTTTCCATCGTGGACGTTTGGATGGAAGGTGAATTTGGCTAATGGTGGTTAATTACTTGCCATCACCCTTAAACTTTTGGTTATATTCTTCTGTTTATACTTTGCCCATTTATACTTTAAACAACTCATTTCACTACTCTCACACTTAAACCGTCAGAGATATCTAAAGACGCTGGGTAATGGGACACTAGGCCGAATGGGTAATTATGCCAAAATGTTAAACGATGTTCATTTTTGATATTAATACATCTGTATTGAACGGGTTTAAGAAAAGAATGAGCAATTGCTGAATTAATTCAGTACTGTCATGGTAAAGTAAGAGCTGACTACCAGCTGAAACATGGACACAGCTGGGTGGCGTAGCCTAGGCAA